CTAAGTTAGGAGTAAAGCATTTGAAATGAATTCACACCTTATGAACGACTACCGTCCTCTGATCTACAGAGAAAATGTACATTTTTAGGGGCACCTGGGTGGTTCAGTCAGTTAAGTACCTGTCTCTTGGTTTCAGATCAGGTCATGATCTCACAGTTCATGGGTTCGAACCCCACATCAGGCTCCATGCTGATGGTGCAGAGCCTACTTGGGATTCTCTTATCTCCCTCCTTCTCTGCCCCTTCCCCCACTTGCTCGCATGCTCGCTCACTCATTCTATCTCAAATAAAGTTAAAATTTTAAAAAAAAAATTTTTTTTAAATATTTATTTATTTTTGACAGAGAGAGACAGATACAGAGCATAAGCGGGGGAGGGGCAGAGAGAGAGGGAGATACAGAATTCAAAGCAGGCTCAGGCTCCAAGCTGTCAGCACAGAGCCCGACGTGGGGCTCAAACTCACAACTGTGAGATCATGACCTGAGCTGAAATCGGGATGCTCAACCAACTGAGCCACCCAGGCGCCCCTAAAGTTAAAAATTTTTTTTTTAATGTGTATTTTTAGAAGGAAAGCTTATTAGCCCAAATCTCTTCACCAATTGTTAATGTAAGAAAACCAAAAATAACCAGACATATCATGGAAGGAAAAGTTCTTTTTGGTTTCAACTTAAGGCCTACTTCTGGGTCTTCAACAATACACAATTTTCTGATTTCCAGTTTTTTCTTCACTTCAGAAACAGAAAGCACGTTCAGTAACACTGAGCAGCAAAAGATGAGGGGGTTAGCAGTACAAGAGGACCACAGAAACCAACTGAATATCTGAGAGGTTTATGTGGCCCACCTATTTAGCTCTTTTCAGAGGAATTAAAAGCTTCAATAGTAAAGCTACTGGTAGTAAAGCTGAAAAACACCTCTTCCAGACTCACTCTTTGGCACTGACTTGGTTTTGACTCTAGGGTCCAAAACAAGAACTTCTTTGGGAACTTAAGTAAAAGCAGAGCACTTTCTTTTGAGAAAATGTAGATTCAACCAGACTAATCTCCAGCAAAGATGTAAAAATTAAAGATGTCCCTATCTGCAGCATGCATCCTCAATTAAAATGCAATGCCAAGAGGCTCTGTCCAGAGATTATCTGTACTTCCAACACTGGTCAGAAGTCATTCTTTTTTTTTTTTAGTTTATTTATTTTGAGAGAGAGCAAGTGGGGGAGGGCAAGAGAGAAAGGGGTAGAGAGAGAATCCCAATCAGGCTCTGAAATGTCAGCACAGAGCCCAATGCACAGCTTGAACCCACGAACCATGAGATCATGACCTAAGTTAATGTCAGACACTTAACCAAATGAGCCACCCAGGCACCTCCAGAAGTCATTCTTGAATGTGTGGTTAACAACCACTACTTGTGACGATCAAGCAAATCTCTCTACTCCTAATTGCTACTCCTGAACAGCCAGAAAGCAACAGGGCATGAACTACACCAGTATGGCTACCCCAAAAGGAAGACTTTTACTAATGGCCAAAGATTGCTTCTACAAATTCTGCAAAATCTATATGAAAACTTTCAATCAAGCTGTTAGACAACACACATAATTCCTCTTGAAATTCTGGGTGAAAGTGCTTACTTCTGCAGCACATATACTAAAATTCTGGGTCAAGAAAAATCTCTCTCTTTCTAGACAAACTTGTGTTTCTTTTCTTTTTTACCCAATAAGAACTATACAACTAATTGTGCTTTGTCTTCTGCTTGGGAATCAGGAAAATGCCTGAATACATTATCATGAGTTCCTCAATGTCTCATTTTTTTTTTTGAGAGACAGCACAAGTGAGTTAAGGGCAGAGAAAGACAGAGAGAGAATCCCAGGAAGGGCAGAGAGAGAAAAAGGGAGACGGGGAGAGAAACAGGGCTACCCCGAAGTGGGGCTCATGCTCACCCCAAGCGGGGCACGACCTCGCCCAAAGTGGGGCTCAAGCTTCACTGGATTCGGGACTCGAACTCAGAACAGTGAGATCATGACCTGAGCCATCCTTAAAAACTGAGCCATCCAGGCACCCACTCCATGTCTCATTCTTGTTATCATCCATCTTAGGTCAGTTTTCTACACTTCTCCACAACAATCAACAATAAAGAAGAACAACAAATCCCTTCTCATATTTTACCTTGAAAAATCATGACAAATCTGTAATCTACTCCATAAGTTACATTTACTTAAAAGTTATTTGAAAAAATGATCTGATAAAAATATCTGAGAAGATCAAAAATTATCTGATCAGCATTGCTTTTTCTTTTCACCAATACTGTTGAGTAAGTTGCCATTCTAGGAAACTATGCCCTGTCTTGTGACTTCAAGTATCTCTGGGCACTATGCCAAATCCACCCAGACAGCAGGTCTGTGAATGTTTTAAATTTCATCTTACCTGAAATAATTGTTCTGTTTTTATTGGAGGTGGCTACAATTCTATTCTTAAAGATACAAACAGATTTAAATTATGGTTCCTCTCACTAATAGTGATTACAAATTAAATCAAAGTCACAACTGTGCATTTCCTTATACAAATAAAGTGATTTGCTTCATATACAGAGTACACAATCTGCAAATGTTATAAATTAAACCACCTCACCAGCTAATGATTAAACACAGGGAAAAAAAGAAAGACACCCAGGGAATTATATAAAAACTGTGAAGACATTAAATCCATGCTTTATTTTAACTAAGAATTCAGTTATCACTGCAAGGAAAATCTAAAAAGTCTTATTTTAGAGTTGTGGGTTTTTTTGGGAGAGAGCGAGAACACAGGGCGCCCACGGGGGAGTGGCAGAGGGGGTGGGGGAAGGAATCCCAAGCAGGCTCCATGCTGACAGTGGGGCTCAAACTCTAACTGTGAGGTCGTGACCTGAGCCAAAATCAAGAGACAGGTGCTTAACCGACTGAGCCCCCAGGCTCCCCAGAGTTGGTTTTTTGATGTGACAGTGACTGATGCAACAGTGACTGTTGCAGTGAAATACAGCTTCTACTCCAGAGAAGCTGCATTTTATTATTTCTTTACAAAACTAGGTGAAGACAGTAAGATTACCAGGTGAGCAATGTAACTGCAACTGCCACTCAATAAATGAGCATCCCATTCTTGCTATGGGCAACATACTGTCCTAGGTTCTGCAGAGGTACAAGAGGAAGAAACACAGTCTGTGAGCTTATTGTCCTTCCTGTTTGTAATCAGAGACATGGAAATCAAACAGGGCACAAGGGGGATGAGAGACAGATACCAACAATATATGTTACAAAGCAGACTGTCCTAACACCAGTAAAAACCTGGAAACAGATGGGAAGAGAGGAATTAATTCTGCCTGAGAGAAATCCAGGATAGGACTGACAAAGACTGTATGAATCAAGTAACATTGCAATTAGATCTGGATAGAACTGCAACAGGGAGCTTGGATGGACAACAAGGACACGAGATGTCAGAAAAGCACAGGGGCGCCTGGGTGGCGCAGTCGGTTAAGCGTCTGACTTCAGCCAGGTCACGATCTCGCGGTCCGTGAGTTCGAGCCCCGCGTCGGGCTCTGGGCTGATGGCTCAGAGCCTGGAGCCTGTTTCCGATTCTGTGTCTCCCTCTCTCTCAGCCCCTCGCCCATTCGTGCTCTGTCTCTCTCTGTCCCAAAAATAAACGTTAAAAAAAAAAAAAATTAAGAAAAAAAAAGCAAAGCACAAAGGAAGTTCATGGAGATATAGGATTGACATGAGCAGAAGGATTGATGAGAGAAGCTAGAAAGGTAGACTGAACAAGCCTTGAATGCCATACTAAGAAGACAGGCTTTATACTATGAGAAATTCAAAACCATTAAGGATGTACGAGCACACAGTTGACATACTTATGTTTTAGAAATATAGGCGGTGCTAGAATAATCAGATGAGAGGAATGAAATCCAGAGAAATCAGTTGAAATTTACTAAAAGTCCAAGAAAAGACAGAAATAAAAAAAAGTATTTACAGAATACTGAGAATCAATCTCTATTTATGAAAGAAAAACAAATTCACATATTCCAATTAAAACTATATTCATCCATACAGAGAAAAAAGTCTGGAAGAATATGCAACAAAAACATATACAGGGGCTCCCAATGGTGTTAGGATTATGGGTGCTACTGAATTTCTTCTTGAAATAGTTTGCTTTACACTGGGTGTTATATGAAAGTGATGGATCACCAAGTTCTACTTCTGAAACCAATACTACACTGTATATTAACTAACTTGAACTTAAATAAATTAAAAAGTAAAAAGTAAATAGATGTGTCTAGGCAGAACTCACAATAAATGCTGATTAAACCGTAAAAAAAACATTTTCAATAAATGACGGCATGTACTTAAAATAACAGTTTGCTTTATAAAGGTTTTTTTTAACGCTTTTTTTAAGAGAGAGAGAGAAAAAAAGCATGCATGAGTGGGGGGAGGGACAGAGAATCCAAAAAAGGTTCCACAATGACAAGACAGACTAATGTGGGGCTCAAACTCACGAACCGCAAGATCATGACCTGAGCCAAAGTCGATGCTTAATTGACTGAGCTACCCACGTGCCCCAAGATTTTATTTATTTTTTCTTAGTGTTTATTTATTGCTGAGAGACAGAGCGTGAGCAAGGGAGGGGCAGAGAGAGGGAGACACAGACTCCAAAGCAGGATCCAGGCTCTCAGCACAGAGCCTGATACAGGGCTTGAATCTACAAATCGTGAGATCATGACCTGAACCAATGCCAGACGCTTAACCAACAGCCACCCAGGCTCCCCCCACGATTTTCTTAATAACATTTTCTGAGGTTTTGTTTGCTTGACAAAGAATATACAGTGTTTTTGTAAAGGAGGGAAGAGTAATACCACGAAAGCTATTTCTATTTTGAATGACAATGAAAGCATAAGAGCAAAAAGGCATTTTTGCTTTTGTAGAAGAATGAAGGTAACAATAAATCCATTTTAAATCCATTCAAGTTTGAGATGCCAAAAGGAAATAGGAAATATACTCAGGTTTTAGCTATTTTTTGTTTTGCTGAAAGGGAGCAATGATGAATACATTACAACACATGAAAATTTCCTTTACTTTAGCTTCACTTAATATGGGACCCAACTGAGGAAAGTAGTAAGATTTATTTTCACTTATTTTAGAGCTTGTGGTTTGTTTTTTTTTTTTTTTTTTTTTTTTTTTTTTTTTTTTTTTTTTTTTTGAGAGCGAGAGAGAGCACACACTCATATGGGCGACGACAGAGGAAGGAGAGACAAAATCCCAAGCATGCTCCACGCCCAGCACGGAGAGCCCAAAGCGGGGCTAAATCCCAAGACTCTGAGATCATGACCTAAGCCAAAATCAAGAGTCAGACACTCAACCAACTGAGCAACCCAGGCACCCAGAACCTGTGTGATTCTTTTTTTCTTTTAGTTTATTTTTATTTATTCTGAAAGAGAAATAGAGAGCAAGCAGGGGAGGGACAGAGAGAGGGAGATGGAATCTGTGCTGACAGCACAGAGCCTGACGTGGGGCTCCAACTCATGAACTGTGAGATCATGACCTGAGCCAAAGTCAAGAGTTAGATGCCCAACTGACAGCCACACAGGTGCCCCAGAACCTGTGTACTTCTAAAACAGAGGGCAACTAATTAAAATTGTGTAAGCTGAACTATATTTTGCTGTACTTACTTACAAAGCTACCTTAATGAATTAGCTGTTAGGAACAGTCTGTACCAGTGTTTTTTCTGGCAACTTAACCTTGTCCAGCCTCCCTCACTACCTTTATCCTAACCTGGAACAAGCAAACCAACCATCATCTACCCCCTATGGGTAGATAAAAGACTTCGATAAATTGCAAAAATACCCTCCTGCTTTTAGCCACAAGTACATATTATGATGAGGATGATCTTGTGAAGCTCCATATTAGATTCCCTTATAAGAAGTACATACACTGAAAGAGCACAGTAAGCCTAAAAAGACAGCACTATAAAAAACATACCCCATTAGAAGCTTTCTTTTTTGCTTTCCATTCATCCAGTTGTGCCTTTGTCTTTGCATCAACTTTAACAAGTAGTTTCTTCTCTCCAATCTGCAGGTCATGCAGTAACCTGAGCGCACGGAGGGTAGATTCAGGTTCCTTATACTCACAGAAGCCAAAGGCTAAAAATGGGTGTAAAGAATTCATCAAATATCAATAGTTATGAAAACACAGTATTTATGGAAAATTAAAATAATTAGAGACCAAATGTTTTTAATACCAAGATTTTTCACATTGTCACTCCTCTCTTTCCTTCAATTACCTTTGATTTATTTTAACACCCTCAAACCGAAAGAAAAAAAGAAAAACAGGAAAGAAAAATTCTAATCAGGGAAATTCTTACTTATTAGAAGTGCTGATAAAATATTTAGCAGAACCAGCAAATTTCATAATGGAGTCTTTTAATTATTTCCTGAATTCATTCCACCCAGACTTCCTAACAGTTAGCGACAATTATATGACATCAGGCTGCTTGAACCTGTTAAAGCTCTTTTCAACTCTGAGTCGTTAAACTACAAAAGTACTGAACTTTTATCCTAGTTATGAGTCTAATTTTTCTGTTTCTGTTTCATTTTAGTAACTACTCTAAGCATTATTACCATGACTTTAAGCCAGAGATATTAAAACATAAATTTTAAAAGAGTAATCTAAAAACTTAAAGTAAAAAAACAAACGAATCCAAATACGTATACAGTTAAGGAAATAACCACACAGAAAGGAACTATTCTGAGTGATTTAAAACTTTTTTCCTTTTTTAAAAAAAATTTTTTTTAAATGTTTGTTTATTTTTGAGAGAGAGACAGAGTGTGAGCAGGGGAGGAGCAGCGAGAGAGGGAGACAGAATCCGAAGCAGGCTGCAGGCTCTGAGCTGACAGCACAGAGGCTGATGCGGGGCTCAAACTCACGAACCGTGAGATCATGACCTGAGCTGAAGTCGGACAATTACCGACTGAGCCACCCAGGTGACCCTAAATTTTTTCTTTTAACGTTTATTGATTTTTGAGAGAGAGACAGAGTGAGTATGGGAGGGGCAGAGACAGAGGGAGACACAGAATCCGAAGCAGGCTCCAGGCTCTGAACTGTCAGCACAGAGCCCAATGCAGGGTTCAAACTCACAAACCATGAGATCATGACCTAAGCCAAAGTTGGACACTTAACCGACTGAGCCATCCAGGCACCCATCTTCTGAGCGCCTTTAAAGCAGTAAATTTGACTCTAGATTTTTTAGTGTGATATATCATAAAGACAAAAGACCTGTCAACAGAAAACTTCTATCACTATATTGCTGATGTTATTAGTCTTACATTGTTGTATATGAAATATGAGATGAACCAAGCCAGTAATTATTTAACAGTCTATCATCCCAATGTCCTTGAAACTCCTTGAAATTCTCAGTATGGGAATACAGATATAACAGAAAAGCTTAAATAAAAACCATTTAGTCCTGAATGTGAATTAACGTGCATTGGAAAAATGTAAAAGCAAAGACTAATAAACAAGTCTTGTAATGAATATACCTAATTGCCAGCTTGTGATTTTTAAAGCAATTTACCACTAAAAAAAACCAGAGTTCCTTAAAGAAATGGCTGACCCTAAGTCTAGGACGGAAAAACTACTAGATAAGCTTAGATTCCAGATTCCAAATAACAAGGTAACTATTAAAAACAGGCTGGTGACAAAACCACTGGAAATCCAACTTGCAGAGGCGACTTAAGCAATTTAAGCTTCACTAGCAATAACGATAATAAATTCTTATTAAGTATAACAACAAACCAAATAGGTTTCAATCCTTAAGTTCACGATGGTTCTTTAAAAAAAAGTCACTGCTGGGGCGCCTGGGTGTCTCAGTCTGTTAAGCATTGGGCTTCGGCTCAGGTCATGATCTCATGGTCCATGAGTTCAAGCCCCGCATCGGGCTCTGTGCTGACAGCTTAGAGCCTGGAGCCTGCTTCACATTCCATGTCTCCCTCTCTCTCCCCTCCCCAACTCATGCTCTCTCACTCTCTCTCAAAAATAAAGGTTAAAAAAATTTTTTTAGTAAAATAAAAAAATAAATTAAAAAAGTCACTGCTAAAGAATGTTGAGGACACAAACTCATTGTTTTGAAAAAAAATCAAGGAACCAAAGCATTTACCCTGTTTTCCTTATATCAATTATACCTCTAACCAAATACTAGATGGAGATAGAGGTTTATTCTTACAGCAGTAGTCTAATAAAGACTTTTTAAAAATGTTTTTTAACATTTATTCATTTTTGAGACACGGGGGTGGGGGGGGGAGAGAGAGAGAGAGAGAGAGAGAGAGAGA